TTCGATCTCTGTTACTCGATGTAATCGCGTGTGGAAATCGCATGCGTATTTCGTTCGAGTGGAGATATTGCCATCTGCACCATTCTATTGGACGCATATACTTACCTACTCTATTACTCGAGTTAGCCTCTGCTCGGGACCTGGCTGGCAATTGTCTTCAGCATGTGGAGAGTCTCAGCAATCTCGAACTTCTTCATCATATCAGAATAATGAAATTTTTCCATGTTATATCAATATTGTTTGTGTCGAGTTGTAAGTACGCATCTCATTGCAAAGTGATAGTTTGTTGAATCCCGATGGAAACACTTAGTGATGGAGTCTGGAAAACAGCGATTAAATTAGTGATGTGGATTTAATGGGCCTCTGTGCCAGTAATTGAGTATCAGACCTTGGATTGCTTAACACAAAAACCCAATTACCAGTAAGTGGTAATTAATAGATAACAACAGGAATGAAATCTACGAACTTATGTATTACAGCTGATTAGGACTAGCGACAAAGGAGACAAGCTAAGAATCTCACCACAATTACACAGAGCAACCTGCTGTGACACAACACTTAGCCAAACCGGCACACTCCCGCCCAAAGGTCACTTAGCAGATGGAATGCGCAAGTTAAGCACTGACTCGTCAACTTCTCTCCCATCCTCGAGACGTACTAGCCATACACTGTCACTCTTCTTCTTAAGTAACGTCACGGGCTGCCAGCCAGTGTTGAGCTTGCCGAAGATCCCTAGCTGTGGTCGCCACCTAAAGGCTTGTAAATTCTCACATAATCCCCTTGCAGCATGACGAAGGAATCGACCAAGTAACTTCTCACGAACGGCACGGCGCTTAAGCCACCAGATATCAGCCAATTCAGCCAATCTCGTTGCACGGCCTTGCTCCAAGATGGATAAATAATCTTCTGTATTAACTTCTGCCCACCACGATGGCGGTTCCAACCCCTCATATACTGCTTTGCGAATGCCCTCAGCTTCTTCAATAGCACCAGGATCGCCAATCAAGCGATCATGACCACGACACAATAAAAAAGGGCATAAAGGGCTTGAATCAGTGTAAGGGGTCATATTCACCACCATAGCTGCCTTATAGAATAAGCGAAGCAACTCATTCCTAGTAGGCAGCTTCTTGAGGTCAAACAATGATCCTCTAACGATAGAATGAAGATCTTTATGTGGCCTCTCACCCCAACCTCGGAGTTCTTCACCCCTAGCAGGTGCAGGAACCAACAAACCACCAAATTCCTTCACCACGGCGGCCACGACTGGAAGGCATAACGCCTGATCAGTCACCAGTAGACTCACACGTCCGAAGGACGTCGTCCTTCCTCAGCCAGTAGTTGATATAGGGCTTGTGAGGCAGCGGCTGCAGATTTATCCACAGTAGGAAGGACACGAATATAGCGAGTAGATTGGCAAACCAGCGAAAATAAGTAGAACTTGCCCGTCCTTTTCTGACCGTTCTCCTCATAAACGAACTGATAAGGTCCACTGCTGTCAAAGTAAGCAATAGCAAACGGACCAAAACGCACTGGACAAGCTGGCGGTCTAGACGACATTACACGTTTCCTATTAGCTGCTTGTTGCCGAGCTTGGCATCCCAGACAGTCTCTATTGAAGGATCGGACTCGTTGATCTAATCTCTTCCAGTAGAAGTGACGCCATATCCAACGTGTAAGCGCAGCTCTTCCTGGATGGCCACCATGTAGGTCATGGAAATATTTCACAACCTCGAATTGCACATCCACTCGATTCTCAGGCACAACAATCTGAGAAGTAACACAGCTACCTCTATCAGAATCGCTGAGAGCTACGCTACCAACACGGTAGAGCAGATCATCACGAACCACGTAACCAACCAACACATCCGAGGAAGTAGCAGCTTTACGTCGCAGATCATTAACCTCGGGAGAGAACTTCTGAGCAATACGTACAGTATTGAGCAATTGCTGATCCAACACTATATCCTCATTTTCTTTATGAGCAGTGAAAACAGCTCCAACGAGGTGTATACATGGTTCTTGTTCGGAAATAGTATCTTTAATAGAGAACTCATCAGGATTTTGCTCATCCTGAATAGTCTCTAAAAACACCGTGATAACTGTGAGCTTCTGAAGAATAGACTTCATATCAGTGGCAGTCAACTTCATGAACTCACTCATAGTCGTAATAGAAGGCCGGGTACCTCTATCCGCAGGATTCTCCCGCCCCGAGACATGGGCAAGACGGATCGGCAATAGTGTTTTAGAAGCTAACGAAGACAGACTACTTCGAAGAAGGGCCTTCTTAGAAGGCTCACACGACGTCGTTCAAAAGGTGGTAAGTACTTCTCATCCAAACGCGGATCTCGCTTCACACGCCACGCATTTAGCTGAGAGTCTGTACAAATCCAAATACCAGAGATAGTATTGTGACCATCCAATACTACATCTCGCTGTTCCAGAATCTCTTCCAACAACTTGACCCCAGCGACCAATGCACATAGCTCTAACCGTGCTACTGACCATTTAGCATTGAGTGTAGCTTGATAGGCTAACAACCTACGCCCATCAGCAACACTGCGGGCATCACAACATATACATCCACTACCTGCAGCGTCGCAAAAGATAACCAGCCCTTCTCGCAAGTCGCAGAATCGGGGTTGATGTGGAAGAGATGAGGGAAGAAAACTCTGAACTGCCTGAGCTAGTTTGGTCGAAACATCCATAGAATCCCACGAGTGCGTACTACCAGAGATAAGACTGAGTAGTAGTCGTTGTCTCGCTACCACTTCTATATATAGACCTAATGGATCATACAACTTGGACAGTTGCTTAAAGGACAGACGGCGTGTAGTCAGCGGAGATTGACCAACCTTAGGTATTTGTATAGTGATAGAATCCTCATCAATACACCATACATACCCGAGTTGTACCAAACTAGATGATTGACCGATAACCCTGTCACCATTTGGATTGTCAGTCGTCCCATAAAAGTCGGATCAGATAGCTCGATGCTTTTGGCTG